TTCCTTTTGTTTATATTTTACCTGCTATTCTAGCTCTCAAGGTTTGCTTCTGAATCAAACAAAATTGTTGTTGTAGAAACTCATCCTCTCTCCTGCTATTCATAATTAGCCTTTGGAGTTAGAAAGGGTGAGACCTTTGGCTTTATTCATTAGGTCAAAAAACGTGTGTTCATTCTCGATTCTTCTCTGTGACACAACACAAAATCATTTTTGTCTGAAAAATAAATGTTATTATTTCTGCCAAAGTTAGTTTGGAATGCGTTACCAGGAGATTGAAGAGGAATTTTCTCTTGTTTCTGAATGGGATATACTGGTACAGAAACTACTGATATATCTTCAAACTACAGTTATGAGTTGTTAAGAAAAAACTTGAACTTAGCAAGAAGTGCAAAATAAATAAAATAAAATTTTGCATTGTATAGATACAAACTTGTTCTGAATCAAAAAAGTGAAAAAGTTAGCTTAAACATTTTTGACTAGAGACAAGGATAGATCAAAATATTTGATTCTGGAAGTAATTGACCTGAAGTGAATTTTCGTCTACTCTTTATACAATCTTCACACTCGCAGTTTCGTGTTCATTATCACAGAATTTTATAAGAAAACTTGTAGATTGACAAAATAAAGAGGGAATTCAGAGACCTGTTTATATTGTACATATGTGAATCTAGACCAGAAAGTTCAGGATGTGTGAATAATCAATTTAAACATATTGAAATAATCAACTGGCCAGTAATATAGAAGTGTTGCAGAAAAAATGTTTATTTTTATCAATATTAGTGTGGTTTATTTATTGTAAAAATAATTGAATTGAGTTTTTTCATTGAGTGTTTGTTTGTAAAGATGTTGTACATAACAAAATATTTGTGTGTAAGTGTATATTGAAAAAATTGTTCATATGTGTAAGATACATGTGTACTAAAGTGGAATGTACCATACATTTTTCAGTCTCAAATAATAGTAACATTGGCTGTCATTTGAATGTATACCAGAGTTAACTAAACAGTGCTTTCATTTTCATTTATGTTATTATTTGATGAACAGTGTGTACACTTACTAACAGAACTTTATTGAATGTAAGACAACTCTGAATGATAGGGAAAATAATAATGTTTTAAAAAGTATTTATACCACAAGTTCCTGCTGTGAAACATATATAATACCTCTATTTTTGTAGGACAATTATTGAGGAACTCAAGGAACACCATTCAAGCTGCTACAATTTACAATAAATATCAGAATTGACGGTTATAACATCAGTCTTATCGTGATGTAATGTGAACATGAGTCTTAAAAGTTGTGGAGCTGACTGGTTTAAAGAGGTGCTGACATTCCAGAATTGAGACTGAAATGTAATTTTTTTTATTGCTAACTAAATTTGGCCAGTTAGATATTTTAATCACATAATGTAATGTCTCTTACCAATTTTTTTAGTATAAATCATATATAAAATCATAAGAAAAATAAACAGTGACTGTAAGAAATGATTGGTAACATACCAATGCTGGAACAACAAAGAATAAAAAATCTCATGGCATAATATGCCACATATGTCTGAGATATGTTTTTGAAATGTTACCTTTTATTAAAATTATATGCAAGAAATACTAATCAAGAAATGTCCTTTTATGAGGAAAACTATTAAAAATTTGATTTTTCACTTCTGTATTGAACAGTGTAATGGTATGTACATTTAATATATTGAGCAGATTGCGTTACCATCAGAGATTATTCTTTCACAGATTTGTTTTATTATTTGAAATTATTTTAATTTTATATTGTATATTTGTAATATGATCGAAAGAATTAAACATTTAAATAATTTGATGAATACATGTTTTAGTATATAATTTTCACACAACATTTAGATAATGGAAACAACTAAATCATCATTTTTTGTAAATAGAGAAGAGACTACACAAACAAAGAAAATAGAACGTATTTCTATCAGATGATCAGAACTAAAACTAAAAATACCAAGTTTAATGAGTGATTGCTTAATAAACATGCCCAAAATAATTTCTATAAAGCACTGAATGTATGTATATTAAGAAATATTTTTGCTGATAATGTACACCAATATGTTGATAGCAAAAATTTCTGTTAGAACAAAACATGAGAGACCTACTAAAAAGATAAGCATTGCATTTACAGGCTATTTATTACTGTTACTGATTTAAGTTTGAAAAGAAGAACATTTGTATGTATTTTAGAATCCAATGTTATATATAGCACTACATATTTTGTTATGTCTCATCTGCATGTCAATGGAGGTTGTGTTTGCTCTGCTGTTCAAAAGTGTGGGGCAATAGAATGTTGATGTTGAAAATGGATTTTTTTATAGAACAAAAAAACTGCTTGAGGAGAACCCTTCACAATATAGTTTTCTAACAAAACCTCTATGAATTTTAAATCGAAATGTAGATTGATACTCAGGGAAGGGTACTAAATTGAAAAGGAAAAGTGCTTGAATGCATGCTATTTTCATTGTATGAATCAGGACAATTAGTTTTATTCTCTTTTTAAATTAGTGGATAAATATTCAGATCTTTTTTTTAAAGGAAACTAAGAACAATAAATCACATTGCTCTGACTTTATTTTAAATGAGAGTTTAGGTATTTTTAAATTTCTTGGATAATGTTATTGTAACGCTGCAGAAAAAGTGCCAAATCTGTAAAAAAAATACATTTTGTTGAGTCCCTAAATTTTTCCAAAATTGATTTGCCTTGATTGTGTACATAGTTTATTTACTTTCCTTTATATGCAGTGCCAGCTCTAGATATGGGCAGACAGGGGGGGGGGGGGTCCTGCAAGAGGCTTGACGATGTGACTGAGAGTAAAAAAAGTGAAAAAAATTAATCTTGAAAAAATTGTTATCATAATTTTATAATTCGCGGTACAGTAGTATAATGTTTCATAAATTTTCAATAATTCTTTAAACTTAATTATTTATAGTCACTTTTTTATAGAGGTTATAAGATATTAAGGGGGGGGGAGGTTCAGCATTGCCCCAGGTTCTAAAACTGTCTAGCAATGTGTTGTGCAGTCAAAATTGAGCACAGTTGTACAGATAAGGTAATTTTCAAAACGCCTGTCTGACCATTCGTTTATGGACACATAGCTTCTAAACATACACAGATTTTATTCAAAATTGATATTCCGCAATGGATCTGACCACACTTTTAATCTTGCCAATTTAAAACAGATCTTTTAATTCTGGTCTTCAAATTCCACTTCGATTAAAACATTAGTCTGTTGACACTTGATCAGCTGTGACACTGTCATCCAACGGAGCTTGAACGTCTCTCCAAATGCAATACCAGAGCCGAGTTGTCAGGTTGAAGAGGAGAAGAGCATACTGCATGTCCTCGTGTATCCACTCATACACAACTGATCAAGTGTTAAAAGAGGATGTGTGGAAAGGCGGATGAACGGCAAGAATGAGTTAAAATGATCGCGAGCAGTAGTATAAGCCTCGCATTTCTACCACCCTCACTGTTCCTTGTTCTACATGAAGAATTCACCGAGTGAGGAGGGTGCGTAGGGGTCAGCCTCTAGCCTCACTCCCCGCCGACGCACCAAGTATGCTACAGGCTGGTGCCTGGATCCCGCCCTTCCTCTCGGCGAGGAAAGATCGCGAGGCATGCTTGCGTGGTCTACCCCCACACTGTTCCTTACGTGACTTCGATAAGTATATAATATATGCACCACACTGCCCCACTTGATGAGAGCTTAGAGCCTATCCCGGTTGGGGCGGTGCCCCCGCTGGAGGGCAAACAACGCATGTGGATTCTTCTGACATTCTGGGGAACACCAGTCTCCGAGGATATAACATGCACTCTATTTATGGGACTAATGAAATAGTTAACGCGCCAGGGAATACTAAATAATAATAGTAATAATGAATATTATTATTGTTATTATTATTATTATTTTATTATTATTATTATTATTTATTTTTTTATTATTATTTTATTATTATTATTATTATTATTATTATTTTATATTATTACTGTAGATATTAGTGGCTTCAGCAGCAACTATGCTATACAGTGGCGCGGCCTCAGGGAAAGAGGTGAAGGGCATACCGTACGGTCATTGTGTATCTACTCCAACCTCATAGGAAGCATTTCAGGGGACTGTGCCGAACTGTATTTGCTTGCGGCACAGCTGCGACTCAAATCAATGTGACGGTTGTTATGACAACCACGCGGGAGAATGAAGCGACGGCTGCCTCCACTTCACACCTGTTAGAGGCTCTGAATGCTAGTCTCTGAGACGTCCAATGCAACCGTGGAATGCAGCATAACCCAGGGTCTGGTTATATCTTCTATCGCAACACGTTTCTTCAGCAACTTTTGGGTCTCCACCCAGAACGTCCAATATACTGAATTTAGTTCAACCTACAAATTCAGAGTCCGTGCACGAAGTTTGAACAAAGGAAATGTTATACCATTATTTAGATAATTATCATTAAATTATCTTAAAAAGTGATCATTATTTGTTGAGGGATTATGACTGGTCATTACATTGGCGCTTCTGTTCTTTCTTTATTCGTCATTCTTGAATTCAATTACATGTGATTGATTGGTCTTGTTCTTGTCTGCGAATGTGCTTGTTCGCAAGTGCGGTAGTGATGTGATTAATTTATGCAATTTGAGATAGCAGACCAGTGCGAACCATGTTTTCTGAAAGTGATTAGTTCTCAGTAATTCAGGAAACATTCGAAGAAAAATTTATTAACAGGAATGCAATTTTGAAGATTAGAATTAATATAATCTTTCAAATGTAAGGTAAGTCTTATATTTTTTTCTGCGTGTTAGGTTCTATAGGTTTCGTGGTTTGACTTTGAAGTTGAGTGTACGCTGGTGATCAAAATGTGATATGGACACTATTGGTAGTGAATGTGTCAAAATGGAAATGTGCGCGCTTCGGGTTTGACTACGTGTGATATAGAAATGAAAGGGATAAGATCAAGTGATCAAAATAGTGTAAGATTCGGATAAGAGATAGCACTTCAACCCGATTTCAGACCACAAACAATCACTGATACATACCCGTACAACAGCCCTTTACATACCATGGATATAAAAATAACGACTGTTCCATAAATTAACCACGTGATAAGGCAAATATTTAATGGCGGACGGCCTCTTCCTTGGATCTATACCGTCGTGATGGTATCGGCTTTATTGTAACAGTGACTCATGAGTGAAATAATTTAGAGTAGAGAATCTTACTTGAAACACTACTCGTACGTTCTTTTAACATTTATCAAAAGCCGGTCCAAGTCCCGGCGGAGGCAGGACTTTCGACACTACCTAGGTCGAATTCGCATTGTCAGAGGAGAAAATCTAGGAGCGGCTGCTCTGAGTTTTCCGTGGTTTCTTCGATTAACACCAGGCGAATGCTGGAGCAGTACACCAACAAAACGTGCACGGAATCGCGCGAGATCTTTCCTTTCTCCTCCTTGATATATCCAACCCTTTACTTATACAGACTTACATGATCACACATGGCGGAAGACCAATCGGGAGCTTTTAATCTTATTCTGGTTGTGGTGGTGGCTCGGGGGTGAGATATATGAATACTGATTAAATTTTAAGCAAAAATCAGTACAGCAGCTGAGAAGAAGTAAAGGGAAGGAAGAGAATGTTGAAAGAGTAACTAAAGTGTTGATGTACCAGCACTCAAGTAGAAAATCAATCTTGATGTTAAAAAAAACCAATGCATGGGCAATTAGTACGTAAAATGAAGAAACATAAATCGACCAAGAAAAGTCGTTCATGTGGTTAAACGTCAGTCAACCGAAAAAGAAGCTGAAAGACTCGTAATTGCAGCACAGGAGAAACCATCAACAACATACTACAGAAGACACATCCTCAAGAGAAAATATTGACACTAACTGTAGACTACGTCAGGAGCATGAAGAAACAATAGACCAATATACTAACTGCAGGATGTCCTAGTCTGCTAAACATGAATGCATTATTTCGACATGATAGAGTGTGCCAATTTGTTAATTAACATATACGCAAAACATATGGCCAAAGTAGCAGAAAAATGGTACTAGCATGATCCAAAGAAGAACAGAACATCCGAATTAAGAACAAAATTGATCTAGAAAACGACATGATGGAACAGTAAGCTTACACAGTTTTAAATGTTTGGGTTTATCAACATAACACAACTGTAAATGAAGACCTTAAGGAAAATTACAAATTTCTATAGATATTTAGTGTAATGAATAAATTATTAAGAAAATTGAAGTAAGGAGAGCACATACTATAATTTTACAAATTTGTGGACAATACCACCTGCGCATTTGGAAGCTAGTTCATGGACACTAAAGAAAAAGGACTAGAGTTAGCTTCAGGCTGCTGAAATGTTGCTTCAGAGAGTGCGAAATGGTGCAATCGGGAATGTAAATAAAAAGAAAGAGTCTGTCCTCCTACTGTCCATTGGTCTGTCCGTCCGTCAGTCCAAAAACTATTTGTCCATCTGCCTTTCGTCCGTCTGTCCCTCCGTCTCTTCGTTTGCCTACTTGTCTGTCTGCCGTTGGTCTGTCCGTCTGTCTGTCTGTCTGTCTGCCTGTCTACCTGTATGTCCGTCAGTCCGTTCAGCTGTCCGTCCGTCTACCGGCCTTCTGTCCGGTCCGTCTGTCCGTTCATCGTGCGACTGCATGCCTGGCTGTCCGTCCGTCGGCTCATCCGACTGCCCGTCCGGTCTGCCCGTCCGTAAGCCCGGGCGCCAGTTTGTCAATCTCTCCCACCGTTAGTGATCGGTTCGTTCGTGTGACTGTCCATCGTGCTGTTCTGCCCGTCCGTTCGTTTATTGGTCCATCTGTCTTCCCGCCTGTGGAATGTCCGTCTGTACGTCATCTGAATGTCCGTATGTCTGCCCGTTTGTCTCCCCGTCCGTCAGTCGCTCCCGTCCGTCCGGTCTGTATGTCCGACTGTTTGGTCGTCATCCATCTGTCCGTCGGTCAGTCATTACGTCTGTACGTCTGTCGTCCGTCTGCGTCTCCGTCTGACAATTTAAGATTATTCATCAGCCTCTCCGTCTCGTCTGGCTGTCCGTCTGTCACTTCCTCTGTAATTCTGTCTGCCCGTCCGCGTCAGTCTGTAAGCCCGTCCGTCGGTTCGTCGCCAAGTCTGTCCCAAACCATCTGTCCGTCCGTCTCTTCGATCACCTTCCCGTTCGTCTGTTCCGTCTATCCGTCCGTCAGTCCGTCGTCTGTCCACCCGTCATCCGTTCGTCGGTCTATCTTATCGGCGATCTGTCCGTCCGTTTCCCGTCTGGTCGCCCGTTTGTCAGTAGTTCGTCCGCCCATCATCCGTCCGTCTGCCTGTCTATAGGTCCGTCTATCTGTCTGTTACGTCTGTCCGTCGTCTTGCCCGTCCGTCTTCTGGCTGTCTTGTAGACGTCTGTCCATCCATCTATCGTCCATCTGTCCCTCCGTCTGTCCCTGTCTGTCTGTCCGTCGGTTCGTCGCCTGCACCTCCGTCTTGCCAGACTGCCAGTCCGTCGTCTGTCCTACAGCACGCCCGTCCGTTGTCGTCCGTCTGTTCCGTCCGTCTCTCCATCCCACTTGTCCTCCGACCGTCCGGTTGTCCGTCCACCACTCCGTCCGTCTTTTCGTTCGTCTGTTCGTTCATCTGTCCGACCGACTGCCCGTTCGTCTGTTCATCCGCCATGTCGTCAGTCATTTTTTGTCAGTCTGTCCGAATTCGTCCGTCTGTACGTCCGTCTTTACGTCTGTCTGTTCATTTCCGTGTGCCGTCCGTTTGTCAGTTTGTTTGTCCCTCAGCCTGTTTCGTCTGTCATCCGTCTTTTCTGACGCCGTCTGCCAGCCCGTCTGTTCTCTTTCCTTCTGTTTGTCTCTTCACCCGTCAGTCCGCTTGTCTTTCTCCCTGTCCGGCCCTGTTGTCCGTCAATCATTCCTTACGCTGCCCGAGGCGTCTGTCCGTTCGTCGGTCCGTCCGCGTCTCTATCCGTCTGTCCCTCAAACCCGTCTGTCCGTCCTTACCGTTGTTCCGTCTGTTTTGCCCGTCTTTTGGCCCGTCTGTCCGTCCGTCTACCCTTTTGTCTGTCAGTCCATCTTGTCTGTCCGTCTGTGTCCGTCTTACCCATTCACTAAATGTTCCTATCTGGGTCCGTCCATCAGTCCGTGCTTCGTCCATCTTTCGGTCGACCTACCCGTCCATCTGTTCGTCTGTTCGTTGTCCTATCCGTTTGTCTATCCGTCAACCTTTACTCCCGTCTGACAATCCGTCTTCCATCCGCGCGGCTCGTTTTATCCATCTGTCCGTCCGTCTGGTCTGTCTCTAAGACCGCCTGTCTCGTGTCCGACCGTCTAACCGTCCGACGCTGTCTCTCTGTTTCTCCCTCTGTCTGTCCGTAATTCGGTCCGTCCGTCGGATTGTCCCTCTCCTTTCTTTTTCTTCATTTTTTGGTCTTTCGAATCTCGTCGACGTCTTTCGTCCTAACTGTCGTGGTTTACACTGCTCTTGTTTTGCTTTACCCTTTCCAGTCGTCTTTCTATGTGTTGTCTTTTTTCCAGGCTTCATCTATCGTGTTTCATCGATATTTGTTCGGCGTTAATTGTCGAGTCGCTCGTCGTTCGTCAAAAATTTTGTAAAATTTGAAATTTTATTTTTTCGAATTTTTATTCTTTTTTGATTTTTATTATATTATTTGATTTTTATTATTTTGATTTTTATATTTTTTGATTTTTATATTTTGATTTTTATATTTTTTATTTTTTATATTATTTTCATTTTAATTTTTTTTTTAATTTTTTTTATATTAAGTTATTAAGTTTTCTACTTTGAAGTGTGTTTCAATTGTTTCTTGTGAGCCTATTGTCGTATGTGTCCCATCAACTCTCGTCTCCTTTTTTTGGTTGACCTTTCGTCTTTCGACGCTCCTGCTAGTCTTTCGTTCCCACACCGTTCGTGTTTATACGCTTTGTTTTGTCATTCGGCTATCCTTTTCTCGTGTCGTCTTTCATGTGTTGTCTTTTTCTCGTTCTTCTTTTGTGGTTCATCGATTTTTGTTTCGACGTTCATTAGTCGCATGGCGCTGGC